CCGGCACCCCCGCCTGCCCGACACCCCCAGGGCCTGGCCGTCCTGGCTCCGGAAGGAGACGCCGAGGCCCAGGAGGGCTGCACTGCTCCAGCGGCTCAGTCCCCGCTGAGCCCGGGCGGCCGAGCTGGCACTGGGGTTGAGTCTCCGCCCCCGATTAGGGGTAATCACAGAGAACACTGGCAGGTGGACAGTCCTTTCAGACAGCCTCCGGTTCACGCTTTCCACTGATTACTCCGACGGGCTGGCCTCTCGGCCCACCTGGGCTCGGGGAACTCTGCGCACCTCCGTGCTCCAGGGCATTTTTGTGCCGAGATGTGAAGGTGGCCGCTGGTCAGCCTACTGGGCTGGACCTGGACTTCGTGCCGGGGAGGGGCGGCGGGCCCAAGGCCCCAGGCCCGAGTTCTCATTTAGTTTTCATTTGCGAATTGTAAATCCTGCCCTGCACGGCAGGCTGCTGCAGGGCAGCGCGAATCCAAGCCTTTTCAAGTCTGGCCAAAAATTTGCCCCGAATTAAGAGATTGCAGCCTATTTACAACACAATATAGAGTAACTCGAGAAGGCTTGGTGGTGGTTTGAGTGAACGCCGTTTATTCTCTTTCTGACAGGGTAATTTTCAAAGCAGCGATTTTTCTAAGGACTCAGGAAGAAAACAATTTCGTTTCATTTTTGTAACAGAATCCAGACCCGGAGCCTCACCCTGCGATCTATAATTACGCGCACACCGGCCGCTGCGCGGTTCCGGCCGGGGTGGCTTTGTTGTCCCCGCGGTCCTCTGGCCTCCCTGTGACGGGAGCAGCACTTCCCAGGCTGGGAAGCTCCATGGCCAGAGACTGGCTGGGAGGGGACTGGTCTCGCCTCCACCCCTACCTCATCGGGGGACGGCAGGTGGGGGTGGCCCCTTCTCGATAAAGGAGAAGCCGGAGGTGGGGAACCTCCGCTGCAGAGATGGGGGAAGCCCGACTGGTTCAGCACCCCCATCACGGGCAGGGAAGCCCGAGGTAAGTAAAGACGCTGGTTCTCCTAAGTGTCCACCTGCCCAGGTCTGCTTGAGAGCTCCGGCTCTGAAGCAGCTCTGCCACCCCACGTGGCCCAGGAACACCGTGCCCCGCGGTCAGAGCTGCACCTGGGGCTTCGGGTTGGAGGTCAGATCTGAGATCAACACACACCCTGCTTGGTGATGGATTCACGACCTGTGTCGAGATGAGTGGACTACGGCTCTGCGGGTCGGACGGGGACGGCCCGCACACCAGATCCCGTTTCCCAAAGCGAGCCGTGGTGCCAGACGACCTTCCCGGAGGAAGGTGCCCCAGACCCGCCAGCAAAACGCTTACAGGCTCACAGGGCCTTTGAAGCCACATGTGTGAGCGGTGGGGCAGCCCCACCCCCAGACCCTGTTTATGGAAAACACCTGGCAGTAATGACCTGCTCTGCAGAAAGCAGGGCTGCGATTCTGTGACCACTGGGACCCTGGAACCACCAGGATGTGATTTACACATTAAAGAAAAACTTACCCCGACACCACCACAGGGCAGCCTGACAAACACCGATGTTAGGGAGCCTGCGGGGAGAAAGAGAGCCAAGGTCGGGCGGGCAGGGTCACTGGGCGCGCGGCCTGCAGGGAGCATGGTGCTGGTGGGGCCCACAGGCACTCTGGGGCTCGTGCAAGACACCCCGGGTGCCCGAGCGCCGAGGGGCAAAGGGCTCGGAGGCACCACTGCCTCACTGTGGGCTGCTGCCAGCGCAGCATCTGTGGGTCCAGCCCTCACATAGGACCGTGATTCTCCATGGCAATGGCCCACTCCTTAAGGGGCAGGGAGACCCCACGGGGGGCTCCTGCCTCCAGCCCACGCTCCTGCACCTCGCGTGGACCAACCTGAAAGGCAGCGTTCAGCGCCCCCCTGCCCCCGACACTGGCCCCAGCCGCCCTCCCCAGCTGTGAACAAGGGAGGGGCCTGGGGTTAAACATCGGAGCGAGCCCTTCACGTATGGAGGGGTCTTTCTGGAATGTGACTAACGGCAGCAGCCCCTCCCCACCTACAGGTGTTCCAAGTTCACTCGGTGGGGCACAGCTGAGACCACATGGCCCTGCAGCTGGCCACGCAGGAAGGCCTGCTGGGGCCCACGCTGCAGAAGCCAGCCCCCGACCAAGAGGCACAGGCCTGTCCCCCCCACCAGGACAGGGACTGTCTTCTTCCTCAGTGTGATCCCAGTGCTGGCTGAGGACTGGCCTAAAACCCACCTGTCCTGAGGGACCAGAGGGCCTTCCCCACAGCAGAGTGCGCAGCCCAGGCTCTAACTGGCTGCCGCCCCCAGCCCAGAGAGCCTCCCCGTTCAGCCAAGCTGCTCCCCGCCCGCCCTTACGCCTCCCTCCCACTGCGGCCCCTGGCCCTTTCATGGCAGATTCCACAGCCCAGCTCTGCACCCCACTTCCCCGGAGGGGCACAGCCACGCCCAGCGCAGGAAGGCTCACTGCTCCCACCGCCCTCTGCCGGGCCCGGGGCACCAGCTCCGCTGGGGACACTCGCGAGCTGCGCTCCTGGGGCCCCAGGAAGGAAGCAGGACGCGGTCACAGACCTGGTGCGCTCACGGGTCCAGCGTCCCCGGGGAGGTCTGTGCCCACCTTGTCCCGGCTCCAGGCCTGGACCACACTCTAGACCAGGCCCGGCCCTGCGCCTTCCGGTTGCTCTCAGAGGTGAGCTCTGCCCCCCACACGCAGTGCGGGGCAGCGACGCACAGCTGGCTGCCCCTCCCTGCCACCCCCAAGGTGCCTGGACAGTGTGTCCCACCTGGGCCTGCTTCTCCCTGCGCACCCCAGCCCGGCTCTGCTCCGGGTCACGTGTCGTCCCCTGCCCCGCCTGGATCTGTGGCTCTGACTCCGGTTCCTGCGCATTTTCAACATCAGTTAAGCTGCTGCTCGACAGAGCCACGTGGCCTCCAGCCCCTAACCCTGTGAGGCCAGGGCACGTCTGCTGGGCTCTTCCATGTGCCCTGACTGCTGGCCCACAGCTGGGAGTAAGCAGGTCTGCAGGCGGGCGGGGGACCAGGCAGGCAGGGAAGTGACGACCAAGGAGAGCGGCTGCTGGGAGGGGCTGCTTGGCCTGCACTGGTCCTGCGGGGGTGGGGTGCCCCTCAGGGAGCCGACCGGAGGGCAGGATGGCCTAGGGGGCAGGACGGGGGCAGGAGAGGGGGTGCAGGTGCCAGGCCTCCTGCTGTCTTGTGACACATTCTCCTCACGGCCTGTTTAGCGACTGAGTCACGGAGAGCAGCACACGTCTCTCCTCCACGGGGCCGTCCCTGAAACCTGGGCGTGGCTCGAGGTGACCACAGGGCTCGGAAAGGCTTCATGACAGTTCCTGTCACATCAGCAACTGTTCCAACACGTGGGAACGTGATGCTGGGGACGTGGGGGCTTTCTCTCCAAGAATTCAAGCGTTCGTACAATGAACTCACGTGGATCGGTGTGTGTGTGTGCAAATACGAGCGAGAGGGCTCTGCTAAGACACTGGACTTCGGTTTTGGAAATTACAGACGGTAGTGTTTGCGTTAACGCCATAGATCATCTGCCTATTTTGAATTTGCTCATCATCCAGCAAGCAAAGGCCAAAATAATAAAAAAAAAAAGGTAGGGTAATGCACATTCAGACCCCGACCTGGCCAGAGCCCGGGGTGGCCCGGCGGCGTGCTGTCTGCGCGCCCGGCCTCCACCCGCCCCATTGAGCGCCTCCTGTGCTGGCCTCCGCGTTCCAGGGCCACCACTGCCTCGGCCGGGTCACAGAACGCTCAAGCCAAGAGAGGGGCCCTGACGCATTAAGGACCAGCCTCGCGTCCCCAGTCCCCACGGGCTGGGGGGTGCTGGCTTTCCTCTGGAGCAGCTACTGCTCCTCGGGCTGTTCTAGGAGCAAAGGGGTCCCGCGACCCTCCCGCTGAGCCCTGGCCCCGCCCTCCTAGGCCGCCAGGCCAGGCTCCTCTCCCAGGTCCCTGCCATCAGAAGACGAACCCTGACTTCCAGGAACATCCAAGGTGGGGACAGACCAGCCCCTCCGGTGTCTGCAGCCCACCTCAGCCCGGCTACGCGGCAACACCCACCACACCACCTACCCAGGCGTTTTTGCACCTGATTTAGAAACGCGTGGATTCAATTAAAAGAGGAAGGGAGATCCCACGGTACACGTTCGAACACCCAATTAGGGCAATGTGGCCAACGTCTGAGACAGTCACCACCCATCACTGCATCTGGAATGCAGCCACTGATGATCATGACCTCTCCCGGTTAGTACCACCACCGGAAGTTTAAAACCCAGTCTCAAGTGGAAGAAGGGATCTGAGTAAGTGTCCTCGTAGCCACAAGAACTGATTTTAAAGCACAAAGCTTGGAAAAAAAAAAAGGAAACAGAATGGACACGAATCAGACACACGCTCACAGTACACGTTCTGCAGCAACACACTCGGCTGCAAACTAAACACCAACTACGCTCACACGGCCGCCTGTGGGGAGGAGTGGGTCTGAGACGATGGGAAAACATTTCAACAAAGAAACCACAAACAGTAGAGGGGGCTTCAACGGACGGTAATGCTGGATGAGCTGCAGAGGGTCCCATGAGGCGAAGGTCGTGGCTCAGCAGGCGGGAAAGCCACCTCCTGCTCACCCAGCGCTTACTCTTCCCCAGGAACCCCGTGCCCTGGCGTCTCTCATCTCATCGCCTGTCTTAAACCTCACCCACCTCCTGGAGGCGGACGCCCTGCCTCCGCCCCGGGCAGGGTAAGGGTCCTCCCATCTCTGCGTCCCTACCCTCTGCTTCTCGAGTCCGGGAGTCGGGGTGCTGATCTTGGTGGGCTGACGGACACTGGCCCTTTGAGGATGGACATGGAGCACCAGGGTGGGCTGGGCAGGCCCTCCCAGTTGCAAAGGAAAAGGTGGGTGGGCCATGAGGCTGCACAGTGCACTCGGGGACCCCCCTCTGACTCTGGACACCCAGCGATGGTTGAGGGGGTTACCGGCCTGTGGGCGGCAGTGCCAGTGCCATCATGGGACCCATGGGCAGCCTCTCTGGGAGGGGAGAACATTCCATGCACCAGGCTCCACCCTGGAAGGAGCCGCGTCTGCTGGAGGGTCCTGGAGGGACCTGGCGCTCAGCCCCCACGCCTTGCTGCAGACTCCGCACTTGGCCCCGTTCAGCTCCTCCCTCCGAGGCTGCTGACCCTCTCCCCGTCCACACTGTCCTGGTCCTTGAAGGCTCCTTTCCAAAAAGTTCTGCCTGGCCTTGGGCTGGACCCTCTCCCCTGGGCCCCCCGCTGGCGCTGTCTCATTTCTCGACATTTCTGTGGGATCCAAGCCTCTTCCTCTGGGCTCCCCCAGTGCCCCCTGTCCTCTGGGAGCCCTGGGCCCCTTCTTGGGAGCCAGCCAGCTTAGACCACCCTGCCCCTCCTGAGACCTGCTCCATGACTTCGGGTGCAGGGCCTGGGCTCCGTGAATACCCCTCCCAGCTCAGAGGACATGGATGTGTTTTGGGGGCCTGAGGGGAGGACGTCACACATACTGAAGAGCCTGCCTCATGAGCACTCCTTCACGGGGGGCGAGCACCCCACGCGGCCCCTCCACAGGGAACGGGGCTGCTCCCCTGTGGGCCAAGCTGCACATGCCCTTCGCTTCCGAGGCTGCGTCCCAAGCACGTAGGCCCCGCTTAGAAAGCCACACTGAGGAGCGAGCAGAAACGTGCCGTGCGCAGCCAGGACAAAGGGCCTCGGCGGCAGCAGCCCCAGGACAGGGCAGGCCGCGGGGAGCCTCTGGGTCGCACCCTGGCACCCACTTCCTGGGTTCCAGGTGTGTCTTGGGGAACAGGGCTCACGGTCGCGGAGCGCCGCACGCCCACTTTACAGGTGAGAGGCGCGTGGCTTGGCGAGGCTGCTGTGCTGGTGGGACGTCAGCCTGGGGCTGCCAGGGCCCACCTGCCCGCGCAAAGCAAGAGTCTTCAGCAACCGGAGCCGGTCAAGAGCTGGGGCGTGAGACCGACGTCTGGTGACTTGAAGGCCCGGATCCAGCTGTACCTGATGCCCCGGGGGATCTTCTCAGTTATCTGAGCCAATAAATTTCATTTTCTCTCTCTCTCTCTCTCTCAAAAAAAGTGGGCACTGGGGCTCAGGAAGCAGAACGACTGGCCCCCTCAAGGTCAGAGCCCACATCTCCTCACAGCCCCGCCAGCCCATGCTCTCCGAGGGCTCAGGGCCTACGAGCGCCCAGCACAGAGGACGCACTCCCTGAGTGCGTGAGCCAACAAATGAACGCCCGTGTGAGTGCGTGAGCGAAGGAGAAGATGAACGCGCACGAGGGAGAGGGCCGCGCTGCAGCCGGGTCCCCAGGAAGGGAACTCCTGCCCGGTGCAGGGCCGGGGCAGGGCCGGCGCAGAGCTGGCCTCTCCAGCCTCAGCCACCGAGACGTGGGGAAACGGCACACAGCACGCCCCTTCCCCTGCCCCGCCCGGGACCCCAGCGTTCTGATCCCAGACTCCTGCTCTGCCGCTCTGGCTCTGGCTGGGGGCAGGGGTGGGGGAGCTCCTGGGGGCTCTCTCCGCAGGGGGCAAAGGCGGGGGTGGGGAAGGAAGCCCATGGGTGGCGACTTTCTGGGTTCGAGGTGGCTGGGAAGCTGGGGTGGAAGTTACCCAGACTGAGTGGGTGGGTCTGTGCCCAGGACCCAGGGCGCCCCTCCCACCCACCAGGACCCACCTGCCTCTGCTGAAGACCCCCTTATGGGGAGACTCCCCCCACACCCTCTGCCAGAGCCGAAGCCCCTGGCCCCGGGGGCGGCTGAGGCCACCTCGTTCACAGCGAGTACTTTCAAGGCTGCCTCTGGCCGATCCCCTAACACTGAAGTGTGGCCCCAGGCCGACCCCAGGCCACTGCAGGCGAGGGTCGGGGGGCCCTGGGCCAGCTCCAGTGTCCAAACTCCACTTTTCAGACTCTGCAAAACCAGTGGTTCTCAGCCCGTTTTCCTCC